GAGTAATTTGAATATGATTGCATGAGGAGCGATATATTTTCACTGGTTGACATACGAAATAAAAATCATACATCGTTACTTATATTCCGAAATTATCATACCAAAATTAGGTTTAGTTGATATGTAAGATGAACAATGTCGGAGCCAAGACCGATCCCTGGGTATGAAGAGGAGAACCCGTCAATTACGTCGGAAATCTTGCGACCAGAGAGAAGGTCGGCCATCCATCTGCAAAGCTTCTCTGGGAGGCTACGGGTTGGAAGTTTGTATAAGAGACCAGCATGCCACAGCTGATCTAAAATCTTTCGTGATATCAAAAGCATCGACATGAGCCTCACCATATGACTGGACAAGTTTACTCCACAGTTGCGTGGAAGGGTCACCAAAGCCATACTATCTGTCGCTAATCAAGCCGTGATGTTCAAGATAATCCAGTATCGATTTTTCCACATCTCCACCACCTTACTTACAACAAAATGCAGAGCTATAGGTCTGTGGAAGAGACGCGAAAGCTTATTATACCGTCGAATACGATTATACCTGAATTACCTTGTTACTAGCGTTTTAATATTCCTAATATTACAGTTCGACCTCCATACGTACACACCGCCGACAATCGTTGTCCTTAAATATCCTTCGAGCTGCCAACTTAATTTCCTCTTATTGTTTTTTCAAGCGTGCCCATAATTAGCGCTTAGCGCGAGTCGTCAGCTTATGCAAAAATCATACCAATTAGAACAGTGCAACGCGTAGTGTGCTCTGAATACAAAAGAGACAGGTACACGTAACATTGTTAGATACTAGGTGTTAACGGTGCGCTGGCCGATTTTCAACTGTTTTAATTGCAACACTAGGGCAAACAATAGATCATTCAGAAAATCAATAGACGAAATCTTTCAATTCAGATTAGATTTTTCCGGCACGCTAATTACGTCAAATTCCTTAAGCCAAATTGAGAATTATTGTGTAACATTAAGATCTTTTCAAAATTCATACTAATTACTAACCATTTTAAACTTGATGCGATCTTTTTAATCGTATACATGTTCCCTCCAACACATCTTGTTCCGAAACAATTGTCCATAAATTATCCTATTTCCCTGCAACCCACAAGCCATGCTAGCGCAATACGGGTTGCATCAATTGAGGCAGATTGCGCTACTCTCCTATATGTGCCATTCACATCGCGTGAGATGTACTATATGTAGTAGCTATAGTCTATTCAAATCTCATTTATTGCCGCTTATTACAAATTAAAAACGCCCTTTTGAGCAGATAAATGCTGATAGCGAAATGTTTGCATGTTTGCCAATTATCAGTTGACTCCAGATAACACAGATTTCATAAAGACCATACCTGTATTTCACTATATGTCCGATGTTCCTCTTTCAGTCCCCCACATGAGCGGCGATCGATTCAGTTTCCCCACTATGCATTTCGCTCCCGGCGATTAGTGTAAAATTTGCAATTATAAATGTTAGACTTCTACTTTCAATCACATAACGAAAATCCAATTTTATTACTGAAGTTTTCATTCTCTTACTTCCGATGCCAAAACTGGTAAGGAAGTATTGTAAGCGAAATTGAGATATGTTTTTTTTTTGGATATTATGTATTATCACGAAAAACCATATCACTCTTTTCCGTGGGACTCTGTCCCCCTTATTTTATAACATAACTTGAGAGCAAAAACGCAAAAAAAAATTAAAACCGCTTAAACTTCGTTTTTTTTTTGACGTTTCGGAAGCTACTAATCATTTTCGGATATTTTTTTGTAGAAGTTGAAACTTCGGGGTTGGAGGTTGTTAATGTAACGTCTTTAGTATTACTCTAAGACGTTCTATCAATAAGGGGCCGTTCAAGTATTACGTAAGCAGATTTATTACAATTATCAAAAGCAAAAGAGAAGAAAGAAGAAAGATTTTGCTCTCTGTTTATCTGTATTTTCATTAATTTCGCATTGCTGTTGTGATTCATTACCGGGTTTTATTTTATCTTCTTCCTCTTTTTTAATATTTGAAGCTGACTGTATAATTTGTGTTTTTTCTGCAGGTTTACAGGTTGCCTAAAAATAAAAACTTTCTATGGCTTCTGCTAAAGATTCTGTTATTAAGCTACATAAATAGAAAGTATGGCAATATATATATGGTAAATACAAAACCATATGGTTTTAAATCTAAAATGTTTAAGCCAGCAATTCGTTCCGGTCACAAAATACAGGGTGTTCGTTTTCTGTATATATGTACCCTGTACTTTGTGACCAAATGACGGAATCAATCATAAGAAATAAATCTATAATATAATGAATATTATCTCTATACTTTGAGATAGGCCATAATATTTTCTAATCAGTAAAGAGAACATTTTTGGCGATTTCTAATATTTCTAGTACTCATAGGTACCTAAAATGATTTCGTCACTCACCTTAGAAAAAAATTTAGTAGATTGGATTTATTCTTAGTCGCCGCTTGCAATTCTTCTTCGATTCTCTTAGATACAATAATATCTAGTTCCTTGTCGGATTTTGCTTGTAATTTGTAATTTCGCCACACTTCGTTAACTAACTTTTGTACATTTTGTACTTTCGTAGCTAGGGTTGCTGAGGATTCCTCTTCCGCTTCCTCATAATGCGGAAGTTCCGCAATATTTTGGGTTCCCCAACCGTTACCGCATCCTCATAATAAAAATGAAAATAATCCTCTTCCGCTATCGCTTCCTCAAAATTTAAGAGGAATTTATGAGGAATTTCACTGCGCATGCGCGTCGCGTATCCATGGTAACTCACACGCCGCAGCGCGATGCCGGGCGGAACGGGCGAGCGAGACCTCCCCTTTTCTTTGCTTGTTTCAACTTGTTTTAATTTTATTGAAATAGCAAATAGCGTTGTTTTGTTTACGCGCGTATGCAACTATACACGCAGTGCAAATAATATAATCTAATAATTTGATTTCTTTTATCAAAAATCGAAATGAGACCGAAGTGTAGTGCTATATGGACGTACTTTAATGAAGTAGACGATCAGACTGTGCGTTGTAACTTGTGCAATCAAACATATTCAAGAAAAGGGTGCGGGACTTCTGGGCTACGGAGTCATCTCCAGTCACGTCATAAAACGGAATATACGGAGTATGAAAAATGCGATGCGGCTTCGAAAAAGGCTGAAGTGGAAAAGAAACGTAAGTGCACAGAAGAAACTTCTCTTCAGTTGGTCAAGAGGCAAGTTACTTTACAAGAGTCATTAATGAAACACCAGTGCTGGGATTCATCACATGAAAAAAGTCGTGAGCTAGATAAATTAATCTGCGAAATGATTGCATTGCAAGATTTGCCTTTCAATTTCATTGAAGGTATTGGTTTTAGACGTTTTGTCCAAGCCGCACAGCCTAAATATGATCTAAAAAAACGTCAGTATTATACTTCGCATTTGTGTAATTACGTTTATCCTAAACTTTATGAAAAGATTAAAAACTTGATAAAAGATTTGGAATACGTGTCTTTCACTACTGACATATGGACAGAGCCTGGAGCTGGTGTTTCTCTGCTTAGTTTTACGGTCCACGGCATTAATGATGATTTCAAAAGAGTGTCTTTAGTTCTTAAATGTGTCACTCTCGAAGAACGACACACGGGCGATCTGGTAGCTCAAAAACTCGACGAAATACTAGAGGAATGGGACATTCCTCGGCAAAAGCTACATGCAATGGTCCGTGACGGTGGATCTAATATGAAACGAGCTGCCCGTATCTCACAAATCGACGATATAGATTGCACCTTACATCAATTACAATTGTGTGTACGTTCAGCTTTGGCGTCTAATGAACATTTCTCGACGCTGTTGGCTAAATGTAAGCAGATTGCGACGCACTTCAATCACTCTATAACTGGACAAAAGGAATTGAACGACTTTCAAGAACGCCTAGGTTTACCTCAGCTGTCAGTTATCCAAGAATGTGCTACTCGGTGGAACAGCATGTTTTATATGATTGAGCGACTTATTAAGATAAAGGATGCTATCATATTATATACATCGCAACACCCAAATTTGCCGCAACTTGTACCAAGTGATTGGGTAAAACTTGAAACCTGTACGAGGATTCTGAAACCCTTTGAAGAGGTAACTAAATCTTTGAGCAGCACTGAGGCATGTATATCCTCTGTTATACCACTGATTCATGTCTTAGTATGTGCAATGCAAAATTTTTTGAGAGAAGATAACATTGGTAATGACCAAGATTGCAAAAATGTCATCCAAAAACTGATAGAAGAGATTAACAACCGCTTCGGTGAGCTTCATAATAATAATCTCTACGCCATCTCTACATATTTGGATCCAAAATACAAAACGAAATTTTTTAATGAAATAACTAAAGAACGTATTGAATTAGCGCTACTAACAGTACTAACATCAACCAGCCAACGCCCAATAGACAATGTCGTCATGGATGTCCACAATCAACCATCCACTAGTTCTGGGGCTGTAGTAGACAGTGTAGACACATCCTGCCCCACAGCCAGCACTTCCACGGGAAAAATTGTAGATTCAATGTTAGCCGAAATGTTAGCCTCTGAGCTAAATAGTGACGATGAAATTGAAAGTTTACCAATAGAAGATAGATCCGTGGTACTGAAGTTACTATTAAATAACTACATTAGAGAAAAACGAATTAATATGCATGAAGACAGTCTTCTATGGTGGAAAAATAATCCGAAATATTCGGAGCTTTACGGAGCTGTACGGCAATACCTATCTTCTCCTCCATCAAGTGTCCCAAGCGAACGACTTTTTAGCAATGCTGGATTGGTATATGATGAGCTAAGAAACCGGTTGTCAGGGGAAACAGCGTCCAAATTAATTTTTATAAAAATTAACCTCCCTATAATTAAGTTTGATTATTAGTATTCAGTTCTTTTATTTTGACAGTTAATATTCGACTTAAGCAATTAATAAAGAAATAAAGACTGCATATTTATTTTCATTTCAATTCCTAAATAAAATTGTATCATTCACTCATCTTTTTTTTGTGTACGTGTGTTGTGTATGTTACCGAACTCCTCCTAAACTGCTGGACCGATTTTGATGATTCTTTATTGCGTGTCTTTTGAGAATGGTTTAGATTCATAGTTTGGTCCACTGAAAAATGCCCTTTTAATTAATTTTGTGTATGTACATATGTACCTAGTTATGTACAGACAGAACAGCGGCTTTTGGGTTGGGTCCGCTAATATTTATAATTTCCTCTTCCTCATCCGCTTCCTCATCCGCTTCCTCTTCCTCAAAAAATATCCTCTTCCTCATCCGCATCCTCTAAATTTGCGCGTGACAATTCCTCTTCCTCCTCCTCTTCCTCATAATCACTTCCTCAACAACCCTATTTCGTACTTGTATGAGATTTTTTAAAACTTTCAAACAATTTTCGGTATAACTTGGATTTGTCTATATGAAACGACATCTTATTTAAACATTAAACTTTGGCTAATAGAAACAATGGTAACACAAATGTTAACTTACTTTACTATGCTTACAATACGTCTACTCGCTATAGTATCCAAACGAAACAATACACTGATAGAGGAAATTTAGACAAGTGAACACCGCGCGGTAATTCCCCTACTCGGTTCTAAAGCGAGTAGGGGATTTACCGCGCGCTGTTCACTAAACGTATGCATTATTTGCGGGAATCCCCGAAAATGCGTTTCGTTTTCAGGCAAAGACAATGTGAGGGTTGCCATTCGTGTAAAAAAGTAAATAACTACCGATGACGTGATCATCATCTAGACTCCCCTACCCCCCATGTCATCCAAAATAAGCAAAGCAAAGACCCCCCGCCACCCCCAAAGTGCTCACGTAATACTTGAACGGCCCCTAAGAAGCTTCTAATCCCGGAAAATTAGTGCGAGTTTAATACTTCCATCGTTTAGTTAGTCGTATATATTGGAAATTGATTCAGAGGAAATAAAATTGCTGGAACATAGTGTTACAACGTTTCAGATTCCTTCTTATTTTGAGACGGTGTTTGGAAGCTGTATGCGGTAACTGGTTGTAAATTGTTCCATATTTGGTGTTCCATATTATTGAGAAGCTGCTGATTTCAGTGATACTATGCACCTGTTAAGACACATAGTTTCGCGACATCTGCTATGGAAACAGAAATATGATAATTTGGTTTATATAGTTTGATACGCAGAGGTCGAAGATTCATTGTACCTAAGTGAACCTACCTAATTACGATTCAATTTCGCCTTTTGAAACGATCAGACGCATCCTTTTCGTTTGAAAGTTCCAACGAATGCGTATGAAGTAGATGCCGTTTTTTTTTTTCGAGGTCATGTAAGTTTTTGTGGCTAGCCTGGCGTCATTTCTGTGACAGTTTTCATGTCTATTGTTTTTTCTTCTCTTCTCTTTCTACTTCCTACTTTTTGACATTACAATATTGTAAGCTGTCAATCTATGCGATTCTGTTATTTCATGTTAGATGAAAGTGAAGACTTGCTATTTGTATTAAAGAAGTATGGAGCTAATGGTATTTATGTCATGTTCAAAGTCAAATATGTATCGCTTAACTTATAGTCTTACATCATTAATAGGAAGACAAAATATGCTATTTTTTTTTAGTTGTCACTGAAAACTCAAATACCGTATATTCACCCATCTATAAATAACAGTTTGAGGGTATAAATATCAATTCCGAACATACGCAAGACTAATATTCATCGAAAAATCGAGTTTATGCTATTTTGGGAACACCTACGCTTTGAGTGCCGCTAGTCAGTAACCTGCAACGGCTGTGGAACCGTCACCGTATCTTTATTTGTATAATTATAGATACGGTTATTGTGATAACGGGGCATGAAGCACGCGACCCACAGTGTAATGAGCGAAACGTAAAACAATTTATCAATAATATGGTGGATGTGCCGAGCGTTGCGGTACCCATGTTGTAAGACTGGTTGCATATAGTGATGTATCATGAATAGTATTAAGGTCGTACGCGGTGTTACCGGCGGTATTGCCAGCTTGTAAAAACGTAAAGTATCGATATCGTATAGGCGGAGGATCAAAATTAGCGCTCGGCTGGATGTATTTCAACGGCCATCGTAGGAACAAGTTTTTCCGAATCCTCAACTGTTTGTCAACAACCGTATTCCTCGAGTTTGCGAGGTCGATTCCAACCTTCCGTATTTATCCGTATTCTTCTTCGAAATAAGCACTGACATTTATCGAACTATTTAATTTGTTTTCCGTTTCCCAGATACCGCAGTTTTCTTTCATATAAGCAAATAATCACCAATCCCTAACCAAAACACACATCGCCATCGTTATTGTTCACCGCAAGCTGGTATTGGCTGGTGATAAAACGTATAAACATTATTGTATAAACAAGATTTTTATAATATTTAAAGAACACAATATGTAGCAAAAATAAAGTTTTCCAAGTTTTAATCATACACTAAAGATGTTAACAAAAAATTGAGACAGTTTGATAATTTATTTTAAATGGAACGTTCAATATTGCATTTTCGGATAGATCCTTCTATGAAATGAATAATTGATATAATATACTATTGTTTTTTGACGATTAGTTGTTTGGGGCTCAAATCTATTACTTTTTACTTCAAAAATCGATTTTTGACCACACAACTTTTACGGTCCGCCATTTTTAAAGACGATACATTTATATTCTAGGAAGGTTTCAGTAAAACATAGCCATGTTTTGCATCGTTTTTCAAAAAAGATCTTCATAAATCCAGTTTTTGTTCATCTTACCGTCCTCATATACACTTTATAAAATCAAATTTCAGCGCCAATCTCGCTGCCTAGGTAAGTAAAAATAAATTTTCATTCGATTATGGTTTTTATTGATTATTTTTTTTTATTTGTTTTAAGCTCCTGATGATGACAGCATAGACTCAACGACAAAAGAGTCCTTGCATAATTTGTCGATGTCCCCAAAGACGAGTCTTCCAATCAACTGGTTATTTCGACAATAACTATGAATCGTATAATATATATACAGGGTGACTTTGAAGTCGAGTCATTAATTTTCAGATAATGATTGTAGAAAGAAGATAAACCAAAATGTGTGTAAAAATAAAAAAAATTAAAAAAAAAATGTTACCTTGTTTTATAAAGTATCCTCCCGACAAGTATTTCAGTGCGGACCTGTATTTGATCGTGCGGTCTTGGAGCACTGGCATGCCGTCCCCTGTGAGGTCTTAAGTCACCTGATTCACGAGCCCTTTGTACTACATTAATAAAGGATGTCCACAAGTTCAGCATTTTCGTAAACATGTGCCATTTTTTATTTCGTTTGAGCCACGCAACAGACACCACTATTCACTCACGCGTTACCGACTGACACTGACTGTATACAACTGAATAAAATAATTGTAAAAACATCGTTCCAAATTCTTTCGCTTTTTTGTTTCCGATGCGATGAACCGATAAGGCGGATTATATCCGTTGTCGCCAAACACGAGCACATAATATTATTATTGAGACAGGGCGGTACTCAAACTTCCAAAGGGCTATAACTTTGTTACTTTAATTTTACCAGAAAAATGGTAAAAAGGTATATACAGGGTGTCCGCAAAGTTGGGGTTTTCCTTTTCAGAAACAACTACCCTTGAAATAACAAATGTAATGTGTAGTGAAACGAGGGCGACCAAGTAAAAAAAAATAAAGGAAAAAGTACTCACTCTCCAGTTGACGAGAAGGGCTAAGTACGCCTCTGCCCGAAATCATACCGCTCCAACAGAAAATGAAATCAGCTGATGCGCTACCGAGCAGACGCAGAAACCACATTGATTGTCTTACACTTAATGGCACATCTTCTAACAAGGAAGGCAAAATGTTGCGTAAAAAGTCTAGGTATTGCATCCAGTCCAATCGATTTGGGAGAATAAATGGTCCAATGAGCATACCGTTCACCATGCCAGCCCAAACACTCACCGAAAATGTTTGTTGAAAATGTGCCCGACGGACAGCGTGCGGATTTTATTCACCCCATTACGCGTGAACGTAGATTCATCTGTCACCAATATGCACTTCAAAAAGTCCGGATTATTGTCATGTTGATGCAACAACCACTCACAAAACCGCACTCTTGCTGGAAAATCGTCAGGTTGAAGGGCTTGTACACGTTGGACGTGAAACGGATACAGCCCCTCTTCACGCAGGGTTTGCCACACTTTAGTTTTTGATACTTGCACTTCTCTAGCCACGTCTCTAGTGCTTGTTGAGGAATTCTCGTCTACGCGATTACCTCTACACGCGTGACCGTAACCGTCCGTTGAAGGTTGCATACTAACCTGACACACTGATCCCGACCCAGTTCTGTCGTCGGGTTGAGCCAGTGACCTTGTACCAATCGGTGATGTCGCGGCTACAGGACGGTATTCAGATATTTTTGATGTTGCAGAGCCCTTTATCTCGGTTCCCTTAAGATATTGGTGTATATGGTACGTCGTGTAAAGGAAAACCCCAACTTTGCGGACACCCTGTATATATTTATATATATAGGTGAAAAATGGTGTCAGCATCAGGTGGTTCACGATGTAATTTTAACTTTCGTTATAAATATTTTTAATCCATTTTAATTTGTTCCTGACATACAGCTGTGTGTATTTTATATTAATTTTGAAGAATGTACCATGCATCCAGCTTTCACCAGGTTACTGGGTGTTATCCTCAACTTAAACATTAATAACATCTAGCAACAATCTCACATACAACTCTCCTGATGAAGATGGCAAAGTCCATTGAAAGCTAGAGATTAATAAAGTATAAAGAGTCCTCAATGCCTGAATTTTGTCGAAGTACCCAACAAAAGGCAGAAGCTTTATTTTCCATCTAACTGGTCTAGACGACAATGACCACGTCTCAAATTCAAAAAAAAAATATATATATATATATACTCGTATAAATTATGAGCACATCATACATCAGACTTTTATCATTTAATTTTCCCGTTGTTACCTGGATCAGAAGCTCCTTAATGACAGAAAATCTTTGAATGATGCTATTATAAGACATAACATTTGCAACACCCAATCCCCAATTTTTAACTCGTCCAATTTTTTTTTCAAATTATTAACGTCGAAAAATAGTATGAACGGTTTTTTTTATCGTTT